GTTTAAGTTTAGGGTTAGGGCCATAGAGGGTTAGGGTTAGGTCCATTAGGATTATGGTTAGTGTTGGGATTCAAGAGGACTTTCTGTGCGAGAATGCACATGTGAGCAATCCTGCGTGAGAACGAGACTGATAAGCCCCTCATCCGAGCAAGAATGCGATAAGGATGTGACCCTGAGTGAGGGGAGAGAAACTCGACAAGACAAACAATCCCCGGAAGGTGTTGGGACGGAAGAGGAAGTTACATAAGGCAGGAAGCCTGGCAAGGCTGATGTGGCACTCTTTATCCAATCAGAAGAAGGTTTAAAGCGCAGGCTAAGTTACTGTCCAGTCTTGAGGACTTGTACTGCATGTTACTCACGTGTGCAGGAGAACTTATAAAGGGGCTTTCTGAGTTGCAATAAACAGCCATTGCTTGATCACATTGATCGTGTGCCTGTGTCCTGGTTCAGCCAGGATAAAGTTTTCCCCAGCAGAGAGAGAGGGGGAAGGGATCTCCAGCTGAAGTCAGGTCCAGGGGTGGAGCCTTTTTACCCTTTCTCTTCTGGTGTTGGTTTTTGCCATACACGCGGCGGGTTTGCTTCTTGATCATTGAGCGGTATTTCTCTGTATATCTTTTGTCTTGTTCACTGTTATTGCTGTTTATTGTTGTTACCATTGATACTGTTGTTATTCAGATTGTTCTATCACTCTGTTGTATTAAATTTCTTGTTATTTTAGCCGGGGTCTGTGTCTAACTTCCAGCCCGACCGGCGCGGGTGGGGCAGGGGCAACAGCCATGTGGTCTCTCATCCCGGCAAGATTTAAACCTTGCACAGCGTGCTCAGCTCTCCTGCAGAACCAGAACACATATGTGAAAAAAGCTGAAATTTGCCCCTTTCTCCGTCAAGTGCAGGTGAGCTGTCAGTTGCAAAAATAATCTGTAGAAGTTCTTGAGAGAAAGGAAAATGTCTCAGTGGTTTTGATAAAAAGTTGTCATACTGGTCTTGGGCCAGCAGGACGACTCTCCTGGTACAGACTGCTGGTTCAGGAGCAAAACTGACCTAAGGTTTTAGTAAAAGTTAGAAAAGCAGTCATGGAGGCGGGTTTGCAAGCTACATTTACACAGTCGTTGTTAGAAAATGTGCTGTGTGGGCAACTTGTGACACCATTTGATTGGCATCAATTAGCAGCTATGATACTAACACCAACACAAAAGCCGTTGTGGAAAGATAAATATATGGAGTATGCCGAAGCTAAGGCTGTAGAAAATTTGGAAAGGCAACCAGGAGATCCTTTGTATGGTGTAGGAGCACATCATTACACGGGAATGGGAGTGTTTGCCAATCCACAAGCGCAAGCTCAATTGCAAGTTGACATCTTATGAGATGTAGCCAGAATGGCAATACAAGCATTTGTGACGCTGTCTGAATCAGGCAAAATTGAAGTGTCTTTTACAACAGTCAGACAAGGACCAAATCAGCCATATATGACATTCATAGACGCATTGCGAGATGCTATTTACAAAGAAGTGGATAATCCTGATGCTAGAGATGCATTACTATTGAAACTAGCTATTGAGAATGCAAATCTGGAATGTAAGAGAGTTTTGTTAAATTTACCTAGAAATGCTACATTAGTAGAAATGGTGGAAACTGCCAACTGTGTAGGAACAATGGAAGAGAATGCAAAAGTCTTAGCAGGGGCTTTTGCTGCTGCCCTGAAAACAGGAGGAGAGCAACGCAGATGTTTTTCCTGTGGAAAAACTGTCCATTTTAGTTGGCAATGTCGACAAGGAAAATCACACATGTCTAATCAACCCCCTCAATCTAAACCTCCAGGAATATGTCCATGATGTCAAAAAGGGAAGCATTTTGTTAAACAATGTCAATCTCGTTTTGATCATGAGGGATATAATTTGCCTATACAAAATCAGGTAAAGTGGAGGAAGAGCGTGGGTCAGGACCACGCACAGACCTCCTGACAACCAATCACCAAGATGTCTGCAACAGCTTGCAGCAAGAACTTGTGGCAGTGCTGGAGTGAATGTAACAATGATAGAAGATACAACCATTACAGACTCCAGACTTCACAAGATACCTACTAATGCACATGGACCTTTAGGATTTGGACTTAGTGCTCTTTATTGGACAGATCAAGTATAACAATACAAGGCATATTTGTTGTGCCTGGAGTAACTCACAGGGATTATGAAGGAGTAATTCAAGTAATGGTCTGGCCTCCAAGTCCTCCAGTTTTCTTACCAAAAGGGTCTCAAATTGCACAATTAGTACCATTCAAAAGCCAAGCACCAGTTACAAGTTCAAAAATCAGAGATCACGGCGGATTTGGCTCTACAGGACAAGATCAGCAAATTATGTGGACTTTAGGAATCCAAAGTTCCAAACCTAAACTAATGGTCACAATGATTCTAGGAGAGGTGTCAAAGCAAATAGAACTGTTAATTGACAGGAGCAGATGTAACAGTGATTTCTAAGAAACAGTGGCCAAAGTGCTGGCCTCTTGTTGATGCCCTAGATTCACTTATGGAGTTGGTGGAAATATAGTCACTAAAGTCAGTAAAAATATGATTATGTTTTGTATGCCAGATAGTTAGAAATGTATGACAAAACCTCATGTAACACGTATTCCAATCAATTTAATGGGAAGAGATTTATTACAACAAATGAAGTGCATCGTTACTAGTCAGCCTTTACAGTGATGGCTACTGATCAGCGACCTGTACTCAAACTTCAATGGAAAACAGAAAAGGTAGTTTGGGTAGATCAGTGGCCATTAACCACCAAAAGGGTCACAATCTTAAAAAATTTGGTAAAAGAACAATTGGACGCTGGTCACATCAAAAAATCAACTAGTCCTTGGAATACTCCTGTGTTTGTTATTCCAAAGAAATCAGGAAAATTGAGGTTACTCCATGATTTACGAAAGATCAATGAGGTTATAGGAGACATAGGTGCACTGCAACCAGGTCTACCATCACCTTCAATGATTCCAAAAGATTGGGAGATTTTAATAATTGATTTAAAACATTGCTTTTTTACCATTCCTATTCACCCTGAAGATTCAGATAAATTTGCTTTTTCTGTACCCTCAGTTAATAAGCAGGAACCTGTGGATACAGGTATCAGTGGACGGTCTTACCTCAAGGAATGTAAAATTCTCCGACGATTTGCCAACAATTAGTAAGTGCAGCATTATGACCTTTTAGGAATAAATATCCTCAATTTTTAGTGTATCATTATATGGATGATATCTTAATCTCTAGTCAGCACATCAGAGATGAAGTAAAGAATGATCTTTTTCAAACATTGCAGGATTCTCACTTACAAGTAGCTCCTGAAAAGGTACAGACTTCAGTGCCGTGGAAGTATTTGGAATGGAAAATATTAGATCACATAATTGAACCTCAATAAGTTATTATAAACAAAGATATTAAGACTTCAAATGATTTGCAAAAATTGTTAGGAAACATTAATTGGATTTGAACATTAATTGGTATTGACAATCAGACATTACAACCATTATTTGATTTGTTGCAAGGGGACTCAGATCTCAATAGCACCTCGGCAATTAACGCCACTCACAACTCAGGCCATTGAAAAAATAAGTCAATTAATAAGCAATCGACAAGCACACAGAATAATATATCAATGTCCTTTGCACCTTGTTCTTATCAATAACAGTTATCAGTCTTTAGGATTGATATCTCAATGGATTGCCTCGGAACCTGAAAATAATAAGTTCAAGATTATAGAGTGGAGTTTTCTATCACATCAACCTTCTAAAACAGTTACCACAAGACCAGAAATGTTTGCACAGTTAATTATGAAAGGTCGTAATCGCATTACAGAACTGAATGGAATTGAACCAGAAATTATTTTCATACCAGTACGAACCCTCACTTGAAAATAAGTTTTTTAACAAACAAACAAAAAAAGTTAAGTCCATGGTTGAATTCAGCCACCTGACCTTGCCTTTGCCTGCTGGATTTAAAGAGCCCTGGACTACAAAGAACATATTACCATACAGAGACGTCTATTCTCATGTCCATCAGATCTATACTGCTGACTTAAAATCACTCAGACAGATCACACTCTGTGTGACTAAAGATTAAATTTTTACATATATTATTCAATTAATGCAAGTTAAATTGATGTGTTTGTCAGGTCCTACCCATAACCTATAAAAATCTATACTAAAAGCACAGTTACCAGAAGAGTACAAGATAAATCAGTAAGAACAGTAAGAGGTTATAAAATCCTATTTACTGGGGAACAGCAATTTTCCTGTAGTTTAATTTCCTTTTTCCCCTCACAATTTATAAAAAGTTTGTGTAAGGGTTAAAGACTAATATAAGGCCCTTCTACAACTGTTCAGTTCACGTAAATTTGCTTTATTGCCAGGACCTGCTGATTTTTTTATAAACATTTGAAATACAAGATTTTTGCAGTTTACATAATCAAAATTTACATAATTTACAGAGAATCATCATTTAAAGTTTATGTTATTGGTTACATTAGGAAGAAACAAAGTCTTCTCAAGCATCCAAACAAAATGTCACATACAACAGTTAAATTGTTCAAGAGGCTTTTAATGCAAAAGAGCAGTACTGGCTACAGCAAGCCCACACAGGACTCAAAGATGGGCAGAGAAGGTGAGCTAATGTGTCTATAATTTCTGATCCAACATCACTCTCTTCCTTTAAAAAAAAGAAATGTTGCCAGATTGCTACTATAAGCCTGATGCTATAATACCAACCACAACTGAAGTCCTGTGACTTCAAAATCCTACAAAAATTTGTTTCCTTTGTCCTCTGTCCACCCAAATTGTTTGAGCTGTGGCAGTAGTAAATAATTATGAGCCAATCCTACAAGGTGCCATCTGCCTTCAGAGAGTTGCAACTACCCATGCTGGGGCAGGTAATTTTGTCTTCTGAACTGAATTCTAATTAGTGGGATGAGAACTTATACTGAATATAACAAATTGTTTTAGAAGTACTAACCTTGTAGAAGAGCAGTTGTCATAGTAACTGTTTCAGGAACAGCAACTTTGCTGTAAATCAACTGATGAAATTCGGGGACACAATCACTCACGTCTGTGATTACAACCAAAACCTGAATGGAAAAGGCGGTAACGTTAAAAAAGCAAAGTGAACTGAGGCAATAACTTCACTGCTCTAGAAATACCAGAGGAAAGAATTTCCAAAAATCATCCTTGAGGTATTCAGAAGCTATAGCACATAGAATGTGCCATTTTCCTTAGACTGGTCTTTTCCTGCTGAGAAAGTGGAAACACATACACATTGCCAGAAGTGGACACCTACCTCAGCTGCACTGCTGAACTGTTCCTCATTTTCCTCTGCTCTGACCAAAAGAAGATACTGGTGCTGGTCACTCTCATAATCCACACTTCGAGTTAAACTGATATCTCCTGTTGTACGATTAATATTGAACAGACCACTAGGATTAGTTAGTAAACTGTAGCTCAGGGATTTCTTTTGATAGGATACAGCAGTGACTGTAAGAAAACTGCATTAAAAAAAAAAAAAAAAAAAGAGGACTTTTAAGCCTGTAATAGAACATACTGAAAAAATGACAAAAATAATGCACATCAGAAATGATGGTGCAATCCTGTAGGTCTGATCAGAGCAATACTCACTGAAGTCAGTGATGGCTGTACCTAAACATTTTGTTATAGAGTAGTTCTATCATTCTATCAGCTCGAGGTTAAACAGGTAAAGATAGGATTCTTGGAAGCAGAATACAGTAAGAATTAAAAACACAGGAACAAGACGATTTCATTTTTGCTGCAGTTGAATTTGCCTACTCTAACTTTTTTCTATGGCAAGAAACTAAAAGATAAAGCAATATGCAGAAGATTAATAACAGCATGGTAAGTTTGCTGCTGCAGTCATACCATCCTAAAGTTTCAACAGGTAACTGCAAAAGGATAAAAGCCAGTCACTAAAGGTGAGCTTGTTACAGGTTATACAGGACATGTTTTTAGCTCTTGTCTGGCACTATCTTCCCCTGAAGTCCAATGTGTTTAAAGTCTTCAAGCAGGAAAAGTACTTACAGTATGACATAAAAGAGGAAATTAAGGATTTAAAACAGAATACTAATTCCTCAAGTGTTTGTTGCCTTATCATGCATGTTTCTTAGGAAGAAGAATTCTGTCTCCAAGGAGAACCCACCAACGTGTATGATCCACTGACAACAACAATCGAAAAGACAAAACTCAGTTTGTCCAAACACTTCTTTCCCAGTTATGTTTCACTGCTTGCTGTCTTCTCACTTCCCTCAGGTGCCCTACTGAAACACAGGAAAAGGTCGCTGTAGGTCATCATCTCACATTAGCTTTTTTCTGTCTTTTCCTGTGACATGGTCTCACAGTTGGGTTCAGCCAGCACATTTTCCTGTCAACGGCAATTACTCTGCCCTCCTTCTAACTCCCTACACTGGCTGCATGTTCACACCACCTCTCCTCTTTTGTCAGCACCACAAATCACAAGACCATGCTGTGAGCACGTTTAACAACCCAACTGAAAACTTTTTTTTCTTTTTTTGGCTTTGTCTTTCATTGGATCAGTCTGCCTATGTGTGCTGGGTTTGTGTGCGGTGTGGTTTCAGTAGCGGGGTAGAGGACTACAATGGTGGTCCCTGTAAGAAGCTTCTCAAAGCTCCCCCAACTCCAAGTCTGACCTGCCTCTGGTCAGGGCTGAGACAATTAGTGACAGCAGCAGCACCTCTGTGATAACAAATTTAAGATGGGGAACCTGGGAGGAGGAGTGGGAGTTGTAAGGATGATTTGTGAGGACACCTATGCAAACACTGAGGTCAGCGGAAGAATTTAGGAGGAAGGGAGTGGGGACATGTGGCAGTGCACACCCCTGCAGCCTGTGGTGAGAGGGCAGGGCCACCCTCGTCACCCATGGAGGTCACTGGTGGAGCAGATATCCACCTGCAGCCTGTGGAGGGCCCCACGCCAGAGCTATTGGCTGCACCCAAAGAAGGCCAGGGCTCTGTGGGAAGAAGCCCTCACTGTTGTAGGTCGGCACTGGGAGGACTGGAACACACAGGAGGGACCCACACTAGAGCAGCATGGGAACGGCTGCAGTCCATGGGAAGGACTCACACTGGAGAAAGTTTGTGGAGGACTGTCTCCTGTAAGAGGGGAACCACACTGGAGCAAGGGAAGAATGTGAGGAGTTCCACCTCCACCCCCCGGGAGGAAGAAAGGGTAGGACTGACTGCACCCCCCAGTCCCAGCCCCCTGCATCGCTGGGGGAAGGAGGTGGAGAAATCAGGAGCAAAGCTGAGCCTGGGAAGAAAGGGAGGGGTGGAATTAAGACACAATCAATGTCTACTAATACTTCCTATATGATTTAAAGAAGCAAGAAACCGTAATTATTCAGTATCAGTCTCCTGTATAAAAAGGTGACTAAAAAAATACATCAAACTTTATCTTGATCACTTATATTAAGGTATCTAAATTGTTACATTATCTAATTATGATTCACAAACAATACTGAGACTTTGAGGAGATCAAACAGAAGTTAAACTAGGAACACAATCTCACTGCATTATTTTTAACTGCTACTTACGATTTTCCTTGTGGCATACTTTCAGGAACATAAACAAAGTACGATATGTTGGTGAACTGTGGTGGTCGAAATCCAGCAATTACAGAAACAGAGGCTGGAGACCTTCTGCTTCCAAGTTTATCTGCTGCTAGTACAGTCAGCAAATACTCCTTGTCCCTCACCAATGGCAAACCTGCTGTTTTAATCCAGCCAGTGTCTCTGTCAACTTCAAATCTGTCTTCACCACCTAAAAAGAACAGTTCCACAAATTGTTGTCAGCAAGAACATTCTTACTTGATTAAAATTAATAGGAAAATATGGTATCAAATCCCAAGTTGGTTTTGGCTTAGAATCAGCATGCACAGAAATATTCAAAAGTTGTTTAGAACTTAGAAATCAGTAATTACATCCATGATTACATTTCTAAGTTGCATTTTACTTTTCTAGACAATTCTTACTCTTCTTTATCCTCCAATACTTCAATGTTATTTGACCCTAAATATCCTTTACCAGAAAATATCCTGCTAGAGTCCTGGCCAAGAGGAACAAATTCACCTTTGGAACAGTATTGCTACTCCTCTTCTGCCTAGACAGTTTTGAACTATTACTGAAATTTAAGACCTCCAGAAAGAAAATTATTAATGAGTCTGTACTAGCTTTGCAAAGCTAAGGCACAACCCCAGACCCTTAAAAAGTTGTTAGAAATGAACCAGAAGCATGACTTCCACAAGGGAGAAGTAATATTAACCCTCTCCACCCAACAAACTGTGCTCCATATACTGCCCTATTTCATAAACAGGCAGCCCAGCAGAGAGGTACTGACTACTGCTGCCATTGCCACCCCCTTGCCAAAGCCCTGAGGAGTACTGACTGCTCCAGTCCCCATCATCCCCCAAGAGATAACCTGGGCACAAACCCAACTTCGAAGGGAGAACACACTTCAAATCTGTCAAATCTGTCTGTACCCTTAATAAGAGTTGTCTATTCTCACATACAGACCTGAAGGCTCATCAATCTTTTGCAAGAGGAACAGAGTATCTTTCACCAATGAAACTGAGGATGAAAGACAAAAAAAAATCAGAGTGGTGAAATCTAATACACAGGGTATGACAGTGTTAAAATTTACCTTCCAAGAGAAAATATTCTACAGCTCCATGGATCCCTTCATCTGCATCCACAGTGAGCAGCTTGTATACTTCAGTACCTCCCATAGCTTCAGGGGAAACCACTGCCAAGAATGGGAAGGGCTCCATGGCCCATTCAGGTACATTGTCGTTCACATCTGTCACAGTAAGTGACAAGTGCACCAAGTACCAATCCTTTCCTAATGGTCACAGAAAAATGAAGATATACTTAGACAGCTACTTAAAGGCACTCAGAGTAACAGAAGCATGTATCAATTCCTGAGTGTGTATTGTCTGCGATATTGACATGTAATCCAGAAAAACTTGTAAGGCTCTTCTGCAATCGACAGCATACAGACACAAGGGGAGGAAAAAAATAACCAGTACAAGTACTGATGAACTGCAAGATCAGGCCCACCCATATTAGACTCTAATATCTCTTTAAGGAAAGATTAGACATTCTTGAATTTTCAAAATTTAAATACACATTTTCTGAAAAGTTTTCTTGCTGAAGAAAAAATAAGTTTATGCAATGATTACAGTAACTCTGAATTTTGAAAATTAAATATTTGTTGCCAAAAAATTCTAATCAATCTACCCTAATTAGTGATTTTCCTGGTTAGAAAGTTCACTGAAATCCTAATATGGTTTTCACCTCTATTATAAGATTAAATGCTGCTAAAAAACAAAAAAAATCCCCAAAGCAAGCCACCACAAAATAGAATTATTCAATTCTTCAAGTATCAACAACAGAAAATCCTTAAAAATTGAGAAAAAAGTATTTGCTACACCTCTGCCATTATTAAATCAACCAGTGAAGACAGTAGAGCTGCTAAATAACTAATAAATATCAGGCAAGTATTGCTGAAAAGTGCCAGAAAGGAAAAATGCCAGACTGAAGAAACTGCTCTGAAATTTCCAGGAATGGAGTTAAGCATTTCTGTTAAAGAAGGAAAGCATGGGAAATATCCTGAGTGAAGAAAGTTTCTGAACACAAGACCAAAGGATACGATTAAAATCTTCACATTCCAAAGAAAGCAAAGTGATACAAAGCCATTTTCCCCTTAATAAATTTATATATACTTTCAACTGGAAAAAAAAAAAAAATGCTTCCTTCAATCACAGCTAGCTCAGATTTTGAAGCAACTTAGCTGGGGTAACACAAGACTGTGACAGAGTATTCTTTTTGTAACTGATAATATTTATCAGTAACATTAGGGAGCACAGCATAAATATGATTTAGGCCTTCTGGCCAGCTTAGCTCTTAAGTGGACTGGCTCTGAACTTGTAAATTTTGCTTCAGAAGCCAACTTGGAGTTTCCTGCAGTCCATATTTAATGCCTCTGGCTGCAGAAGACTGCTGTGTGCACATGCTGTCTGACTCTGAGGGCAGTACAACTGCACTGACATGGCACTATGCCCCAGCTAACAAGCCTGGGGAGGTGAAAGGGAATGTGATCCAGGTCAAAACAGCTGTCTACATTTAAAACACGATTTATCCACAAGTTTAGTAATGGATGTAAATTCAGAATTTTTAAAGTTGATGGTGTCAATGCTTGATTTTAGAGTGTATTTATTATTTATATATACGTGACAACATACCTACACATATGCGGTTATTTTCAAAATAGCTTTACAAGAACTGAAACAACATACAAAGAGGAATATCTAAAAATATCCATTTAAATTTAAATCTACTTAACAATTCAAAGTACTTAGTATTTAAGAATCTAAATACAAAGTGTTGCCAAAATGTCTAATCCTGTCAACAGTATTATCTTGCTAAGGAGGAATATTCTCCCAGGAAAGTGTGCCACTTAGGTTGGACAGCTGTACTCTCTCCCCCTCTCCACTTCCTTAATTTCAGCATTACATCCCTCTCCAAAAAATCCATGGTCCAACTAAAATATGTTACTTTTGTCTGATGTATGTATTTACTGTTGTTATCCCTTCACTCCCACAGAGGTACTGCAAGCTTCAGCTTTGCATACTTAGGAACCTGATGGCAAGTGGCCTATTTAGTACACTGTATCACAATCTGCCATTTATAAACAACCACTAAGTGGATTGTTATAAAGAAAACTCCTTGGTGCTGTGATTAACAAAGTCAAGTGCAGGTTTCTTAGTTTAAATCCCTGAGACTTAATCCATCATGACCTTTGATTACTTTGTTCTTATCCAGAAAATTCTCGATAAAAAAAAAAAATCAGCATTCATCCAAGATAACCACAGAAGTTGCTCTCAGTTAAACTTGTGAAACAGTATTAATTAATCTGAATTTTACAACTGTGAGTACCTCAGGTTTATTTCTTTCTCTAAAGAGCAACAGATAACATATTGACAGTAACTTGTTAAACAATAATTAATTTATTTGTAATTATATCCTGGACTCAGAATCTAACATTCCAGGGAATTAAATATTATCTTAAGATAGCACATATAAAAAAAAAAGGTGGCTACAGCAAAACCGAACTTCTAATTTATCAAACAGTAAATCACAGAAGCAATCAGTCTCCTGAAAAAGAACCTTAAACATGCTTTGCACCATCGTAGAACTTGGATACATGCAACACACATTTTTAGGTTTTCATGGAAAAATTATCAATTACCATGTACATCCAAGTCTTACAAAGACTCTGAGATGACTTGTGTGTGTTAGGTATTGCACTTCTGCAGTCAGAAATGTTGGAAGGCCTGCTGTAAGGATGCTCAAATTCAGCTTCTCTATTCAAATGTTGGCTTCGCATGCAATGTCCAAAGAAAGTTTCAAAAGATAAACTCAAATTGCCTCATTACAAAGAAAGACTGACACTGAGGTGAGAGTGACTGTAGCCCACACTGCTATTGCACTGTCCTTGTAGTCACCCAGGTATAGTTCCCTTCAATATTTAAGCAGACTCTGTGAAAGTAGCTGCAAGCTTTCTCCTCTGTATAGCACAAAAGCCACAAGGAGCACCAAAAAAACATCCAAAAACCATGATGTAAAAAGCAGCAGCATAGATATTTTTTCCCACTATCACACTAAAAACAACCAGATGTGTTTCAGAGATGTGTTTCATGTCAGAATGCACATTTCAAAAGTTCCAGGGCAGCCAGTCCAAGACACCTAAAGAAATTGCAGAGGAGGGAACTTGCTGGACATTGATCCGAGTCTGAGGTTGACATACACCATGGCGACTCACAACGGGGTAAGCTCTAAGTGAGAAGCACCAAACGAGATCAGTGTCTGCTTGAATGCTCTGAAGATTTTGGTTAAAAGGTTGTCCAAAAAGACTAAGTGCAAAAGGAAGAAGCTAGTGTCAAAATTGCCTGTCTTTTCTCAAAAGTACAGGTCTTGTGGAAGCTGTCACGAGTTTGCAAAGACCCATCGTTAGCTTAATTTGCTGGGCATACTGCAAGCTTAAAATAGGAAGCACTAAATTAGAAGCCAAGTTAAGAACCTTTGAAAATCTGCCTCTATAATAGCAAGATCTATTGAGGATTTGAATGCCACCTTAGTAACCCTGCCAGGAGTAGAAAGGTTACTGATCCTTGTCTCTCTGGAGTCTGAAAATCAGTATCCTAATCAACCCATGACCTCATTCTATTTCAAGCTCTGCTGAAGTTCTTAACACATATGTATTCCTCTATTAAAAAAATGTCACAGTCAAAGAATAACTGATTTTTATTGAAAAAGTAGTAATAAACCTGGATACAAATTCCTCTCTTGTCACTTAAGACTGTCAGTTCACTGAACATTAATATGCTAGTACTTAGTACATAATTATAACTGAGAAATGCCTCTTGTAAGGAAACTGTGGAAAACTGCAACAGGAGTGAAATTAATCATCACATGTTCTAGCAAACTTTATTAATCAAAAACTAAAATGAGTTGGGCATGTTCCTCCAGGTACTTCTGTTTTAATAGTTAAAAGAGATTTCAGTGTCATTTGACATCTTGGCAAGACCAAAGCTTTCAGCAATACGTTGATTACCTCTGAAATATCTGAATAATCTTAAGAGTTTTGTGAGGATGATCAGCAACGCACATGATCGAAGAGACCAGCATAAGTGCCTCTCTTGAACAGTACAGGTTTCCACTGTGTGGGACCTTACAGGTCTTATTGGTATGTTATCTTCTTCCATCAGCCATAGACAATCTGATTCATAGGTAAAAATACCAAATAAATCATCATGATTTCGCTTTCAGATAAAGGCAGTCTGGAGGAAAATGATGTAACTAAGCTTTCCCTTGACTGCATACCATGCATCAAAGCAAAAGCTGTAACAGAAACACCAAACAGTACTGTACTTCTCTGCACAGAGACCTACAATTGTGACCTGACAACTTGTTAAAACAACATCAGGGTGTCCAATGAAGCAAGGTCAGGCAAGGACTTGCCAGAGGACAAGTGTCATGAAGAGACTGATATGGATAATAATGTGTAATATGTCTATGTCTAGCAAGACAACGCATTAAGAATTTCAAAGTATATGGTCGTTAATGTGATTATTTAAAGCATAACTCCACATTCTAATGAGCACAGCAAATATTTAAAAGTTTTTTATTTGTTGTAATTATCATGACATATATTACAAAATTCAGTCTCATATTGTGTAACTGATGTAGCTGCTTGCCTACAGAACAGCTGTGTTTGCCTACAGAATGGAGCTTAAACTGGATCTTTAACTCATTTTTAATAAGGTATATAAAATTTATTTTCTCCCCTGTTTATGAAAATGACCTGTGCTTCAAGACAGCAGAAGGAAGGAAATTTTAGAAACACATCTCTTGATAGCTCAGGTGTCTCAATGCCTCCTTCCATCAAAACACTCCCCCGTATGTATCTTGCTCATACATTAATTACATGCGTACCTACAATTGTGTATTATGGTTAATAGTAGTTTATTAGTAGTATATAAGTAGTATATGTGCAGTAATATTGATACATTATGGGAGAAATAGTATGTTACAATCCCACTCAAATCTTAGCAGAAACAGCTTAAAACTAGTAATCCTCTATGGATTTGGGTTAAGTCCTACAAACACACAGACAGGTTATACTTAAATTATCTGCTCCAAATACCAGGCCCCAACAACAAGTGAAGATACCTGCAACTACATTCAGCAGCGCAGATCAACCCACCGCTAAGACTTTAAGTCAGGAATCTGACACAGGCTTAATTATTCCTAAAAGATTTTTCAAACTGTTTTGTAACA